CCCGCCCCCCCGTCACTAAGAAAGCAAACAGCACACTGCTGACGTCTCCTAAGTATGCGCGTGAGTAAAAGAAGATGCTGTCTGCTCTACATGCGGGGGCTGCGCAGGCAATGACGCCAAGCCAACGGCACTCTGACCCGGGGTAACCAGCGAAAGCTACGCTGCCAGCTACACTGAGAACTACCCGCATGCGCCAGCTAATGTCGTCACAGTCACGTGCTCCAGACATTCTGCACCTGGCGTGAGAGGCAGGTTCTGCTTGACGGGCCAGCCGACCAGTCAGCGGGAAGCGCTCATCGGGGCGTAGGGCAAAGAGGCTGTTGATTGGGGATAGTTTCAGATAGGGGAGGGTTCTTTGTCGTTCTGGTTACTATGACGCCCGGCCCCCGCCCCCTCGGCTGGCCGCCATCTTGTTGTTGATCCGTACCCAGTGGCCAGCGCTGGGAGCTGGACCCAGCGGCCTGCGTGGGGCCGCTGCAGTGGGGCTCAGCACCTGCGCCGCCTGCCAGGGGGCGGGCCGAAACCTGGAGGCCCGGGGGGCTCAGCTCCCGTGGGGAGCCTCGGGCGCCCGCAGCCCGGCCAGGGCGGGTGAGTGACAGGAACCGAACCGGGCCGAAAGACCGCTTGACGCCCGAGGGGAGGGTGGTGGTAGGCGCTGGATTATAAGGGCGCGAGCGGGGCTGGGGTTTAGGCCGAGCACCGTTGGAGCTTCCTGACTGGCTGCCCGCCGAGCCTTTCAGGTGCTGGCGCCGAGGCTGGGAGGACCGCCCGGGTGGAGGTCGGGTAACCTCGGGTCAGCGGCAGATAGCGGGAAACGAGCTTCTCTGACCCGATCCGGCTCCGCCGGCTCGGGGGCTCTGAAACGTAGCCAGCGCTAGCCAGATGCTCTCCGGGCGCAGCGTTGCTACGAGAGATGCGCATATTTTCAGGCCCCTCGAGACTAACGCTGGACAAGGTAGGCCAAAGCCCAGGTAAGCGGAGCGGGCCATAGTCATGGCCCTCAGTCTGGCAAGGCAGAGCCCTGCCAGGCTCCTTCCTCCTGAGACCCTCTGAGAGCTTCACGTTCTCCTTGAAGCCCAATGTTTGCTTTCTCTAGAAAGGTCCAGATAAATATCCGTAATGCCTGAATTTTATTTTAGAGTGTAATTTAGAGCTCAATCACTATTGTTTGGAGTGTGTGGCTGAGGAGAAAGTGAATGCTGCGATGATGACTCAATTAATTTTGTCTACCGAAGAGACACGCTGATCAGAAGGCAGGAAATGTAGGAGTGTATTACAGCTGGAAAAATAAATGAAACTTGTTTTTGTTGTTGTGGAACTGCCAAACAAATTTTTTGACTTCTGAGACAGGATCTGGCTATGTATATCAGGCCAGCCCTAAACTCCTTATGCAGCTCAGGCTGACCTCAAACTCGAAATCCTCCTGCTTCAGCCTCCCAAGTACTGGAATTACAGTCCATGTCACCAAGCCTGGCTTTTAAATTAGCTTTTAACAATACTATTTGTATTACCTCAGTGAAATCGACTGTCAGATCCCTTTCTGGATGGGAGGGAGGAAAGGGGGTAGATGCTAGGCAGAGTATGCAGGTCAAGAAAGAGTTCTGACTGCTCTGGAACACACCTCTTTATCCATGGCCCCTTAGCCTCTTCATAGAGATGTCTTTCTCTTTTCTTTTTCTTTTTTTTTGGTACTGATAATTGAACCCAGGACTTTCTTACTAAAATACATAGTCAGCCTTTATTTCTGAAACAGGTTTTTCTAAGTTGCTAAATTGCCCAGGTTAGTCTTGAACTTGCCATCCCTTCTGCCTCGGCCTCCCAAAGTGTTGGGATTACAAGTGTGTACTACCACACCCAGATCCAAACAAGTACCAAAGCTTGGGTAAGATAATTAAGAAGTGAGCCAGGGATTTAGCTCAGTGGTGCTGCTGCCTGCCTCGAAAGTGGAAGGTTCCAAGTTCGATCCCCATACCAAAAAAAAAAAGAAGAAGATAACTAAGAAGTCAACCAGCAGTATTTTAGGATCATGTCACCTCTGAATGTTTAATTTTGAAAGAAACTAGCTTCTTGATCAGGAGATCCTTTTGGAAACCAGATGCTGAAACCAGAGGAGGCAGGCAGTTTGTTGGTGTTTGCTTGATATTCTTATGAGGAGATAGAGGAGTACTCCTTATTTCTTATTTTATTTTATTTTTTGGTGCCAAGGACCGAACTCGGGACCTTGCACTTGCAAGACAGGCATGGGAACCACTGAGCTACCCCCAGCCCCTCTCTCTTATTTATTTCATTGCCCCCTCAGGGTCTTTTTTTATCTTATTTTTTTTGATAAGTAGTGCAGGCTGACCTTGATCTCACTGTGTAGCCCAGGCTGGCCTCAGATTTGCAGTGATCCTCCTGCCTCAGCCTCCCAGGTGCTAGGACTACAGGCATGCATCATTACGCCAGGCTCAGGACCATTTTTTAAATTTTTTAATAAATTTTTTAAAATAAATTCTTAATAAATTTTGGTAAGACAAGTCTTTGGGCAGTTCTTGAAAGGAAGAGGAAAAATACTAGCAGCTTCTCAAACTTGTCCCAGCCAAGTCCTGTTGCTTGCATTTAGAAAGTTGAGGCAGCCACAGACTTAAAGTAACAGTTAAAGTAACAATAACCGTAAGTTAGAGTCCTATCTTGTTTCAGTATTGGATTTCTTTGAGATACAGAAGATTATCCTTTGTGACGTTCTCAACACTGATTTTTTTTTTTTTAACTTGTTTATGTTTTTGCAGTACTGGAAATTGAACCCAGGGCTTCAGGCATGCCAGGTGAGTGCTCTACTATTGAGCTACACCCCAGTCCTTTAAAAATTTTATTTTGAGCAGGGTCTCTAAATTGCCCAGGCTGGCCTTGAACTTGAGATCCTTCTACTTCTATTTCCCTGTTACTACCTGGGATTACAGATGTGCACCATTATACTGACTCAACACTAACTTTTGCATAATTTTAGGGGATTCAAGGGCCCATTTAAAGTTTATCCTTGGTCTAGCCCTATATTAGAAATCAATTCCAAGGAAATCAGAATATCAAAGAGCTTTTATTGTCTTTTGTTTAATGCTTTTACTGCCTCGTAACCATCTGTGAGTAGTGGATGCTGCTTTCGATTCAGCACATTTACCCAAAGGTTGTTTATAGCAGTACTTTTGGGCTTGGGGTTTTTAAGTGCAAATGAGTGGGACTCATAATAGCAGACCCTCCATCCACTTTGATTTGTCTTTGCATAATTCACCTGTAAACTTCAGTACAACTGCTATGGGCAGTAGGTATACTTCCCAGACTGGAGGTCCTCTGAAGTCAGTCTTCAGTGGACTGATGGGGTGATACCTGATGTCCTTATGTGGCATTCAAGGAGCTGTTGCCCAGCTGTCCTCAGCCCACCTCCAGGCTTTACTCTGATCTCCACTCCCCAAATGATTTGCTTAAATGTTTGCACATACTTCTCTCTACACAGTTCCTCTCACCAGCTGAATCTGGTGATTTTTGTCCATTTGGGATGCCCTGTTTCCTCACTTTTATCTTCTACTTCCAGAGTCCAGTTCAGGTCCTTTTTTATTTGCGTGTGCGTGTGCGTGCGTGTGTGTGTGTGTGTATGTGTGTGTGTGTCAGTCAGGGGGTAGATGTGGGAAATTGACCCAGGGTCTTTACACTGAGCTACATCCCTAACCCCACTCCCTTGTTTGATAGAATGTTGCTAACTTGGTAAATTGACCAGGGTGAGCTGAAATTTGTGATCCTCTTGCTTTAGCCTCCCAGAGTGCTAAGATTACAGGCATGCGCTACTATGTCCTCATTTTTCTTCCTTACAAAACACCCCAATCCATTTCAGCCCCTGGGAATGCGCCACTCCCTCTGAAGTGGAGTAGTGTTATGGCCCTTAAACAGCAAAATAATATTTGCTCTTTTAAGGATTAACTTTGTTTCTTCTGGTTAGAAGCAGACCCCTTTCTGGCAGAGACCGTATTTTACACTTATTTGTGTCTTTCACAACTGTGTGTAGTAGATGAGAACCAATTGTTTATAAATATGTACTAAATTTATCTGAGTTGGAAACACCCTCTAACTAAACAAGGAAATGCGAGAGAGTGGACAGGTGAAAATGGGGAAGTGCTAATGTTATACTATGGATGAACCTCAAACATGCTGAGTGAAAGAAACTAGATGTAAAAGACTACATTCATATGATTGCATTTATATGAGCTATCCAAAATAGGCAATTCTATAGGGAGAGGAAGTAGATTAGCGGTTGCTTAGGGGGTAGAGGTGGTTGAGGGGTTAGGGAAGTGTTAACTGAAGGGTATAGGACAGTGATAGTGAACCTTTTAGAGAAGAGTGCCCAAACTGAAACCCAAAACCCACTTATTTATCTTAGAGTCCCTACAGTGCAATTAAACCTGAATACTGAGAATTTAGGTTAGAAAAAACAACTCATATATTAACATCTTTTGTCTTAAAAGAAAAACAGCACACATGCTATAGGTTTGCCACCACTGGTATAGGATTTCATTTTGAGCTGATAAAAATGTTCTAATCTGGATGTTCTGGTGCATGCCTGTAATCCCAGCACTCAGGAGGCTGAGACAGGAGGATCACACCATTCAAGGCCAGCCTGGACTATATAGCGAGAGAGACCCTGTGTCAAAAAAACCAAAAAACAGGTTCTAAAATTGTGTGTGCGCATGTATCTGTAAGTACAGTATACTAAACAGCATTGAATTATACACGTTAGTGAGTGAATAGTGTGATGTGTGAGTCATCTCAATAAAGGTGTTACTTGAAAATTTATGTAAATGACATGAGGTGATGAAAATATACAGTGAATGTAAAATTTTTAAAAATCATTTTATTTCAGTAAGACACACATTGCCATTAATCCTCAATACATCCTGTCTTCAGGGAGTACACCCTGCAGGAACACACTCATCCCATTTTTCCTGTCACTTTCTGAAGCAGTTCTGGAAGTCCTCTTTTGTGTTTAGGAGTTGTGATCAAAATTCAGTGACTGTTGCTGCCGGGTGCCATCCAGCAGAGGCAGGCTTGTAAAAACTTTATGGTGTGTCTTTATCCACCTTGTTCATTGGATTTGCCTATTCAGTGCTATAGTTTTTCTGCATCTTTGTGGGTGATTTCAGTGCTTAGAATGGCTCCCAACTGTTGTGCTGTCTGGTATTCTTTTTTTTTGGTACCCGGAATCAAACTCAAGACCTTGGATTTGCAAGGCAGGTGCAGAGCCACTGAGTTAAATCCCCGGCCTGCTGTCTGGTTTTTTTTTTGTTTGTTTTTTTGGTACTGGGGATCAAACTCAGGACCTTGCGCTTGTGAGGCAGGTGGTGGCACCACTGAGCTAAATCCGTGGCCCTGGTATTCTTTTTTTTTTTTTTAGCCCTGGTGTTCTTAAGCATAAGAGGGCTGATGTGCTTTACATGTGTTGGATAAGTTTTGTTTAAGCATGAGTTCTAGTACTCTTGGCTATGAGTTAAGTATTAATCAGTAATATATTTTAAGTTGTCTAAACAGAAATACATAAAAGGCTATGTTTTATATGTGTGTAGACCTGGAAGATTATCTGTTGATTGGTTAATGAAAATGTGACCAGAGGCTTGGAGGAACTTAGCCATTTATTTCTTCTAGATATACTGGCTCGGTATTGAATAGCTCCATGTACACAGTGATTGATTTATTTATTTATTGTACTGGGGATTGAACTTGGGTCCTTGCTATTGCAGGGCAGGGGCCAGAACCACTGAGCTAAATCCCCAGCCCTACACAGTGATTTTATAGAACATAGCTGTCATTATTAGTAAGGCGAATTGACTGAATAGTCTTTTGTGCCAGAGAGCCCTAGATTTTAATTTTTGAGAGCTACAGGTAATTTTTTTGGTAATGTCAGTTTCCACACCTTTAGAGGTATATTGCTAATTCTAGTGATTTACTTACAGCATCCCTCAGAACCCCAAGACACTATATCAGGTGTGGTGAGGTGAGGGTTGGGCTCCTCCCAGTGTCCATCCTCTTAGATGTGGCTGATGTTCCTGAATGCTTGCTGCTTACAGAGGCTGAGCTCACCCTACAACAAGTGTACTGTCCAGGTGAGAATCACCCAACGCCCTCCACTCCCAATGCACCAGCGATGCCTATCTTTGTGTCTAAGCAACAGCAATTGGCAGAGGTTGCTGAGGACTGACAAGTCACTCCAGGATGCCCAGGATGATAGTGGTATGGCCCAGTCTGAGGAGGGTGCTTGGGTCACAGATGGAATCCACTTACCACTTTGGTTCAAATGGCAGAAGCTTTAGTTCCCGCTTGCTACCCAGCTGCCATTCACTGCAGCTGACAAGAGTGCAGATGCAGTACAGGAACCCTCCTTTGCCTCCTGGGAAGCTTTCCAGGCACAGAATGGAGATAGACAGTAAGGAAAGAAGTGCCCATCCCACACCCACAGAGCAGTATCCAGACTATCCATCATATGATGCAGGTCAGTGCTATATAGAACAGAAACATGCTACTCTTGCTTGGGGGAAATGACTTTAAAAGCACAAAAGTTATTACCTGTTTTCCAAACCTAACTTTGGGAAAAGGCAGCAGGATAAAATGCCATTAGTTCTAATGATTAAGCTTGTAAAAAATTAATCATATGAGAAGCAGCCTGCAGGCCAGCATCTAGGCCCCTCATACTGTCTCTGGAGACTGAACTGCAACCTAGGAGGGGACTCTTACCGGGTCAGCAAAACTTCATCTTTGGTCTAGTCTAAAAACTGCTCTTGGCAAAATTACTAAATCAGCCACATGGCATGTAACAATTGTTAAGTTATTTGAAAAGTAGTGTTAATACTTTGACCATGTTGTAAAAAAAGCCATCTAAAAAATAAAGAGAGGAAGGCCAGGAAAAAGGCAGGTGCCAAGGAGGTCTGAAAGGTCCAGCCAGGGACACTCATGTATGCAGGTTGGGTTCAGCTCCACCTCAGGTCAGCTTGTTCCACTTGATGGTGTAGAGCAGCTTTTCAGGAGTGCCTTGTGGTAGAACTCAGGCAGCTTCAGCAGGTTGTGTAGGTACTGGCTGTGGGAAGCTGATGGAGGTCAGATCCCCCAGTGTAGATACAAAATTCAGGGTAAAGCTCCTTAATCCCCAAGATGTGTCAGAGCACAGCTTGTTACAATTTGAGCAATTTGTGCTTTTCTTCATCAATGAAACCTACAACGCTCCAAAATTTTTTTTTGTGCGGGGATCAAACAGGGTCCTTGCGCTTGCGCAGCAGGCAGCGAAACCACTGAGCTAAATCCCCGGCCCTCTCCAAAATATTTTAATGACAGGATAGTTTGTAAAGGATTTTAGGTCCTCTAGCCTTATGGTAACTTGAATACCAGAAATTTATACAGTAAGTCCTGACTTACAAACATTTGAGTTTCGAACTTTCACAGATACAAACAGACCTTGTATTATGAACATTCCTAGATGTGAACAGATCACCAAAGTAAAAATACTTTCTTTACAGTACAGTGGTACCTTGGTTTACGAACTTAATTTGTCTTACAATTTTGGGGAAGATGGCTGCATTTGTGTTTGTTTGGGGAGGATGGCCGTGGTTGTGTCTATTTATTTATTTAATTTATTTTTAGATGGGCTTTCACTCTGTAATTCAGGCTGGCCTTGAACTCAAGGCAATCCTCTCTCAGCCTCCTGAGTGCTGGGCTTATAGAAATGTGCTACCATGCCCAGCTACATGATGGTAGTGTTTGTCACCAGATGCAGAGTTTGCAAATGAAAGCAAGATTTTGCCAAATGCTTTTGCTTGTGAACCGAATTGTTTACAAGAGATCCTTTTTTTGGTACCAGGGATCAAACTTTGGTCCTTGGACTTGTGAGCTAGGTGGTGGAACCACTGAGCTAAATCCCCAGCCCCCGAATTGTTTATAAACGGAAGTGTTTGTGAACAGAGGCATGACTATTTTTATGTGTGTATTTAGTTTTTTTATGCTTTACGTTGAATATTTGTGTCATAGTTGCACAGTATTTTAAGACTCAGTCAGGAACAAATCCATCTTACAAATGTTCTCCCAGAACAGAACTCATTCGTAAGTTGGGGACTTACTGTACTTGAATTTCCTTGCTGGTCAAACATCCCACAGCCATTCCAGGCTGACGACTTAGTCAGGACTTGTCAGAATGGCAGGCACTGTGGGCAAATCTGTTCATCCTGGATTCAGCCACAAAGTAGGTGTACATGATGTGTTTGGCACTGTGCTGACAGGGATATCTTTCCCACCAAATTTTAGTTCAGCCACCTGGGCCTCTCTCAGGTTGTTCTTCATCAGGTTGAAGTTCCGCCCCAGCCCCTCCATGTCTCCCTGTAGCTCTTGAGGAATAGTAGAGTAGGTTCCTGTAGACCTCAGTGACTAGGGAGGTTGGGTGGTGGATGCCCACATCTGTACCTGGTCCCTAGCAGCTTGGAGAGAAAGAAGCTTGGAAGGGCAGCTCCACCAGCCTGTTTTCATAGAGAGCCTTTCAGAGTATTCTGCCTAGGAAGTAGTAATTGAACAAGTAATCTTCCACAAGTATCTGAGCAGCTGGGATGGGATACAGAAGCCCTCCATTAGTAGTCTTAAAGAACCCCTGGTTGGGATAAATCCTAGTTTCAGTAACTCATTTAAAAGCTGTCTGAAGGGCCCGGGGATTTAGGTCAGTGGTTCGGGCACCTGCCTCATAAGCGCAAGGTCCCAAGTTTAATCCCTGGTGCCAAAAAAAAAAAGGTTAAATAAAATTAAATAAATAAAACCTGTCTGAGGGCTGCGGGTTTAGCTCAGTGGTGCCACCACCTGCCTCACAAACGCAAGATCCTGAGTTCAGTCCTCAGTACAAAAAAGCTGTCTGAAAATACCACCACCATAGATTCCAGCTTCATCAAGACCATGGGCATTGAGCAAGTGCACACAGATCTGCTTTTTCAAATCATGCTCGTTTTGGGGGGCAAAGTTTATCACAAGCATCTTCATAAATATAATTTCTTCTTCTTCTTTTTTTTTTTTTGGTACCAGGGATTGAACTCAGATCCTTGTGCTTGCGAGGCTGGCAGCAGAACCACTGAGCTAAATCCCTGGCCCCTATAATTTCTTCTTATAGTGACATTCTATCCAGAAATGGACCACCTCTTTGAATTTGCTTATCTGCATAGATCAAACTTGGAAAGATTCTCACTCTCTCCTTACCTGGGACCACAAAAGGCAGCTCTGTCAGAATTGTGAGCTGCCGCTCCTTAGATACAGATAGCAATGGGGATTCCAAACACCTAGAGTGGACTGCAGCAGGCTGGTCTCTGCATTGGCTGGAACCTCTATACAGTGTCTGGATCCTAACGTATACTGGTACAGCTGGGTGACCTTATTTGCTTTAATATCTTTTTTTTTTTTGGTACCAGGGATCGAACTCAGATCCTTGTGCTTGCGAGGCTGGCAGCAGAACCATTGAGCTAAACCCCCGGCCCTGCTTTAATATCTTTTTGTTCTGATTGCCAGTGATTTGGAGAACAAAAAATTCTCGTTATGTTTCTCTAGATTTCAGTATTTTCAGGATTGGTGATAACTTTAAACAACTGAATCCATTGTTTTTTATTATTCCATCTGTGTACAGTTACAACCCAGAATTAATAGTAACTGATATTTCAAAAGGCTAAAAAAACCCCAAAACACTCCAAAATGCTGTAATAAATTCTTTTTTGTTGAACAGGGTCTCACTATGTAACTCAGGCTGGCCTTGAACTTGTGATGATCCTCTTGCTTCAGCCTCCCAAGTGCTGGGATTACAGGCCATGCCCAGCAATATATATTTTTCTTGAACCTCTGGTTTTGTTTCTGGGTATGCCAGCTTGATTATCCCTAAACAGGCATTTTGAAGCAGTGAGACAGCATGATCAGCTTCTCCACAGTGAAAGGCATCACTGATGATTGTTTTTGTTTTTGTTTTTGTTTTATTGGTACCGGGGATCGAACTCGGGTCCTTGTGCTTGCGTGATGATTGTTTTTGACCTGCAACTTCTATGGATTATCAAAGAATTCATTATCATATATGGAAATCAGCAAATGATTATACACATAGGGTTAAAGCGAGAAAAGGTGGGAATTATTTAACTAGATTCTTCCAAAGACATGGGAGAACCCCAAGATATCACTTAGAACAATGGCACCATGAACCCCGTGATCATCTGTGTTGTCATGGAAGAGATGAGAAACCAAAGGTGCCTCAAACCTGCCATTGAAAGCTAAACTGTAGAGAAGCCTGACTGGGCACCATTGTGTGGTGCGGCACCATGAGCGTGTGACAGATGGAGGCCATCCTTGTGAAAGCCCTCCGTGCTGGCCAAGTCTCTTCACACCAGGCTTAGCAGTGTGTTGGGCTGCTGCTTTGTGTTCAGCTTCCTCAGGCCCTCCTCAGTTATGTATGGGGTGGAGACAGCGTTGCTCAGGTTGATGGGCTCACCGGCCTCCTCACATTTTCAGAGTCACTGGCAGTGTTGAGAGCTGGCTGTGGCAGTTGAGGCAGGTAACTGGGAAAGGAAGGTCAGGAGCATCTGTAGACCAGCAGGCTCTACTTGGAGAGCGTCCCCAAATAATTTTCACCAACAGTTAGAATAGACAAGTCATGCTGCTCACCACTCCTTTCTGAACATCCTCTCTCTAGTAACAATAATGCATTCAGAAAGGGTTCAAAAGGGAAAGCAGGCTGTACATCTGCTTAGTGCAGAAATGACGAAATGAAAAACCTAATCTGTAAAAGGTGCTGCCAGAAATGCCTCTGTGAAGGCTGAAAAAACTTGTTTTGTACCTTCTGGACAGTAGTTGTACATAAAATGCAGGGGTTTTAGGACATTCTCCAACAAAATTTTTGCTGTAAGAACTCAGATAAATCGGAATATTCAGTACTTAATGGAAGCTTGCTGTTAATCAATAGAGAGATAATACCCATTGTGACTCATGTAGCACAAAATTTGTGCAGTCATTGATACAATGTAGCAAGCATCCTGCAGAACAGACAGATAAGGCTGGGGATTTAGCTCAGTGGTTTCTCCGCCTGCTGCGCCAAGCACAAGGACCTGAG